ATGGCATGACCACGCAGCTGAGCAGATTTTCCTGGAGCAGTTCCTTAATGTCATGATTTTGTGCAAAAGAAATACTTGCTCATGTGTGGTGATTCATGTATGAAAATGAGACGAGCTGGAAGCTGAGGTGCCTCGTATTAGAAAATTAGAAATGTATGGTTTTACTTTTTAAAGCAAAAAATCTAAAGTATTTGAAGCGTTTAACAAGTGAAAGACTATAGTAGAAAATGAGACGAGCTTGAAGCTGAAGTGTCTCGAATCAGATCATGGGAGCTAGTAGTGTCATCAGAAGTTCAAGAATTTATGTGTGACAGAGGGAATCATACAAGAGTTCACTGTCCTAAGAACTCCACAACAAAATAGAATAGTTGATTGTATGAATAGAATAATCACAGAGCATGCCAGGAATATGAAACTTGTCAAAATAATTTTATGTTGTATTGAACACTACGATTTATTTGATTAATCGTGGTCCTTAAGCCACTTTGATGGAAGGCTTAATTGAAGAAGTTGGGAGTGACATTGAGGTAAATCTATCACATTTAAAAGTATTTGGGTGTTCTACATATATTCATGTCAATGTAGGGTCCAATTGTAAGCTTGACTTGAAATTTGTCAATTGCACCTTCATTGGATATAACTCAAATAAGTTTGAGTACAAGTTTTGGGACTATCAAAATAAAAAATTTAACAGGAGTAGGAATGTCACTTTTAATGAAATGGAGATGTATAGTGATAGGATTGCAACTTGGATTTTTTATTAGTTACCTCTGAAGAGATCAAGTATGTTGACACTGGTGATCAGGAGGATGAAAAAAAAGTGTTTAACCAGATAGAGCACGAGAAGTTCCTTATTCATCTATTACTAAATTATGGAGGTCCAACAGAATGATACGATCGCTACACATGTATTCTTCTTTGTTATACTATTTGTTGTTAATTAATAGTGATGAACTAAAGTGTTTTCCATTTTGCAGGCTTCCCTTGCCTACATTGCTCCATCAATCAGAGGCTGTTAACCTTGGAGACCTGATGCGATTATGAGTACAATCGGGCGTGGAAGACACTCGGTCCTCTGTATTTTCAGGGGCCGCTGGGGGCGCATAGGATGCCGCTCAACGTGCGACGCTCTGTTGTTAACCTTGGAGACCTGATGCGATTATGAGTACGATCGGGCGTGGAAGACACTCGGTCCTCTGGATTTTCAGGGGCCGCTGGGGGCGCATCGGATGCCGCTCAACGTGCGGCGCTCTTCCAGCCACTGGACCCTACCTCCAGCTGAGCCGTTTCCAGGACTGACACTTAAGCAAAAAAGATAACTCTTCCCAAGGCCCCCGCCGGCGCCTCTGGAATACCTAACGTTGCCATCAACCGCCACATCCCGGCTCGGGAATTTTAACCCGACTAACCCGACTCCCTTTTGAAGCTCACGCGAAGTCGCGCTCTCTGACGGGCCTCCCCCGTCACTTAGGATCAACTAACTCATGTGCAAGTGTCATTCACATGCTACCTTTCCCCCCTTCGACCTTCAAAGCTCTCATTTGAATATTTGCTACTACCACCAAGATCCGCACTGAAGGCCGCTCCACACGAGCTCAAGCTCCGAGTTTGACAAGGCCGTTCAAGTTGAAGACTAAATGGATTGAGAGCTTTTTATCGACAATAAAATGTGATATATATTACCAGATGACAAAATAACACTACATAAAAAGTGGATATATGTGCTAAAAGAGAAGTTAGATGGTAGCAAACATGACAAGGCAACCCTTATTGTGAGGGGGTTCCAATAGAAGGAATGGGTGGACTAAATAGAGGTTTTTTTCTCCGGTGGTGAAAATGACAACCTTCAGAGTTATGATTAGTTTGATAGCATAAGAAGATTTATATTAGGAGTCGATGGAAGTAAAAATAACTTTCTTATATTGGGATATGGATGAAGAGCTATACATTTTGCAACTGCTAGTTTACAAAGTTCCAATAAAAAAAGGTTTGGTCTGCAGATTAAAGGAGCCTTCATGACTTGAAGCAGGCCTCGAGATAGTGGTACATGAGGTTTAGCAGGTTTATGTCAAATAGTGGATACATAAAGTGTCAGACATACCACTATTGCTTCATCAAACACTTTGGTAATTATTTTATACTTTCTTATTTGTATGTGGATAATATGGTGATTATTGGGGAAGATATGGAGAAAGTTAAACACTTAAAGGAACAATTATAAAGTGATTTTGAGATAAAAAATTTAGGCCCAAGTAGAAAAATTCTTGGGATGAAAGTTAACAAGCTCATGAGTGCAGATACACTAAAATTGTCCCAATCATAGTATGTTGAGAAAATTCTATAATGATTTGACATGACTGAGACAAAACTAGTTTGCAACCCATTAGATAGTCACTTAAATCTATCTAAGAAACTATTACCTAAGCTTGAAGCAGAGCAGACATAAATAGAGAGAGTTATGTATGCTTCAACAGTTGGAGGTCTAATGTATGCTAGGGTTAGTACCAGACCAGATATTATACATGCAGTGAGAGTATACAACATGTATATGGGCAATTCAGGCAGACATCATTAAGGCGCAGTGAAGTGGATTCTCATGTATTTGAAGGGAAAAATCCACAGAGTACTTTGCTATGAAAGTGCGTGGATCAGTCTGCAAGACTTTATATATTCATATTTGATATGAGATTTGGATGGTAGAGGGAGTATAATAAAGTATGTTTCACATTGGAGAGCAAAACATTTAGTTGGGTTTCTAGGTTGCAGAAGATTATTGCATTTTCAAATGCGAGGCCGAATACATCTCTATCATTGAGGATAACAATAATATGATTTGGCTATATGAATTTATGGCAGAATTGTGCAAGGTGCAAAGAATTGAAGAACTTCATAGTGATAGTATGAGTGCAATTCATCTTGCTAAGAACGTTTTTGTCATGTCTGAACAAATAACATTCAATTGATATATTATTTTATATGCTTTCTTCTAGAAGGTTGGCAAGTATTCTTAAAGAAGATACACATAACTCAGAATCTTGAGATCATGTTGACGAATGTGGTGACCATCGAGCATCTGGAGCTATAATTGAATTCAGTTGAAGTCCAAGAAGGTTGAGATCGGGGGTGAATCACACCACAATACGTGAATATAAAGATGGTATAGATGGGATGCAAATATAGAGGACATGTGTTAGATGCTATCAGTCTCTAAGAGAGAGATTGTTGTGTTATATAGCCTGGATGCAACCACAGCCAAAGATGCTCCTATACCTAGAATTGGCGTAAACAAGCCAAAAACAGGCGTAGCTATCTTGAGCGGCGTAACTATGCCGCAAAGAATCGCTCGCCACAAGAATTCTTCTCGAGCAGGTGAAATAATTATATTGTCTCACGATGTGACCACGCTGTCAAGCGGTTTGAAAATTCCTTACGTTTGCAATTTCGAGGGACAAAAGAAATACTCTCTCACGTGCAGTGTTTTGACAAGGTTTTCATGAAATGGAGAAGGTTCAAAGGGGATGATTTTGGCATGCAATTTCTCTTGTGAGATTGAGAGAAAGGTTTGGAGTGAATTCATGTAAGTTTCATTGATTTTACAGAGAAGATCTGAGTGATATTTTAATATATTGCTGGTTCTTTATAGTGAAAATTTCATGGTGGTGGAGCCTCGTGGTTTTTCATATTCTTGAATTTTTTTCACACAAATTCTTGTGTGCTCTTTTGGAGTTGTTATGTTGTGCTTCTGTTTAATTTTTTTAAATTATGGATTTCTTGAATCGGTAGGATCATATTTTGTGATATAGTTTTGATTTCTAATTGATTGAAACCCTAGAAATATATAAGATTCCATCCCAACAACGAATAAAATATATAATTGTCGTTTAAATTAAAATATAGCATCTATTGCAGCACCTATAAAACTTATAAATATGGGTCAATATTTGTATTAAGGTCACAAAATCCAACTCTATACTTTTGAACAAAATTTTAAAACTCTTGCATCTCTCTCTCTTTTCTCTCGCATCATTTTTCTTTTATTTTTCTCTTATCACACGAGTTTTTAAGTGTAGGGTTTCAATATTGCTATAGATACAACACAATAATTTTTAAAACAATATAATTTATCATCATTATTATTTATATGTTGTTTCCATAATTTTAATATTTATTATATTATTTAGCTCAAGTTTTAATCGATCTTCTAAACCTTTAATATTTTATTATCTTTTAAACCTTAAAAATTTTATTCTTTTGGGATAGGTGAGGACTCATAATCCTATGCATGGAAATTCTTCACACTATTTTAAATCAATGTGCTAAACATTCCAACACACCCACATAGAGAGAGAGAGAGAGAGAGTATATATATATAATGAACATCATTCTTTTTATAAAATGATTCTTCTATTTAAAGAGGAGACAACACGTGATGATATTACATTTTACCCCCATTTGTAAGGGATCAGTACTAGGGCAATTCTAGTATTTTACAAGCATTGGCTTACCATCCAGCTGTTTTCTGGCTCAACCGGCTAAACTTAGTTGACTTCAGGCCAATGAGATTAACTTGGTGGGCTGAGCATGAACGGTATAGATCTGCCGACTGAGCTTGGTCAGTTGATCCAATATGGTTGACTGACCTGACTCATTGGTACGACCTCTAGCGTAAGTAACTCGGGTCTGGGGGTTCTAATCTCATAGCGCCGGCTCTTCGAATCAGGAACAAACATACTATAGTTTTCAACCCTTTGGTATCGATTTCACCTTTTAATATTTAACAAAAACTTATTCTCTTATTGTATATAAATAACTTTTAACTGATAAAAAAGACACTGCGAAATTTCCTCAATCTCGCAATTTACAAGTTACAAACTGGTCCAAAAAGTTGAGCGCGGAATTCATATAAATATTTTTCAGTGTATTCCGTAACTCAGTATAGTGTATCTTGTACTATTTTTAGAATCTGTTCCTGCTTTCATTATCTCTCTCTCTCGCCTCGCATCTATATATTCAGTAAAGAACAGTTTCATCATCCCCCAATCCCATTCCTCCACCATCTCTTCCTCAACCCCGGCTTCGGGTTTCTCCGGCGGTGCTGCTTGCGACGGGCGGCGGGGATCTCGATAGCTGCGGGGATTCTTTTGATTGAGGAATCTGGAAAGTGGATTATGTTTTGATTTGATCTGCTTCCGTACTCTGTTCTTGGTAGAGGAGGCTGTGGTGGTGAGGTTGCTTCAATTACGGTACGCTGGTTGAGGATCCAAGGTTAATTGATTTCCAGATTGTGGTTATTACTTGTCTTGTGTTGCTGAGGATCCGAGCTGGTTGTTGGGGTTTGTGTTGTGGATTAAAGTGTGGTGGTAGGATTGAGCTTTGAATCGATGCTGTATTGACCTTTTGTATCTCCGGTTGCTCTCTGGCGTTTCGTATTGATTTGGAATCTGGAGTCAGCTTCTGTAGGCTAGCGTCACATTTGCTTGTCTTGAACTGGGTAGTTTTTGTTGGGGGTTTGCTGGGAAGTTTGCTTTCGGACATGTGGATTTGTTTTGTGCGGATACATGGGTGCGATGGCGTTTTGATTCTGGATTTCTGGGGACGAAATGAGGCGGCTTAGGATTTGCGTACCTCTGAAGTTTTGGTTGTGCCCGTGATTTGAGGGCTCAGCGCTGTTTGAACTGTGAGAGCTGTTGGGATTCTTATTTTCTGCTCAAGTGCTTCGTGTGCTTTTGGGATAGATGGAGGCTAACATGAGAGGGGATATCCACCAATTTTTTACAACCGAGTCTTCTAATGGACATAAACAGAAGACTCAGGAATGGGATTTAAATGAGTGGAAATGGGATGGAGAACGTTTTGTGGCTGCTCCTGTGACCCCTGGATCCTTAGACTACAGGAACAAGCAGCCTTTCCATGGTGTGGTGGTTTCAAACACCTCATCGGCTGGTTCTGATGAGTTTAACTTTGGAATCGTTGGGAAAGGGCTAGGTGAGACAGATAAGCGGAGACGAATTTTGGTTGTTGGAGATGATAAGCAATGTGATGAAGTTGGGTCCCTTACTTTAAAGATTGGCGGTCATGTCTATCCGGTTAGGGATGAAGATCTGGAAGTTGGAGGAATGAAAAATGGTAAGAGGGGCATGGTGCAAGCTAGCAATTTAAACATTCCTAAGTGCCAGGTGGAGGGCTGTGGTGCTGATTTGAGCAATTTCAAAGACTACTATAGGCGTCATAAGTTGTGTGAGATGCATGCCAAGGCAAGCAGTGTAGCACTTGGGAATGTTATGCAGCGTTTCTGTCAACAATGCAGCAGGTTAATACTTTAATTTTTAAATCTCTTCCCCTATTCCAGATTGCTTTCATGATATTAAAATTTCATGCTCAAGTTCTTCATTTACACATGTCCAATATCCATGGTATTTTTTCTACTCCTGGCTTGAATATTTTATTGGTGGATTTGTCCCATTGCTATTGTTTTTGACATTAAATTGAGTTGAGCATGGATCCGAAAGATCAAGACAATAATAAAAAAAAAAGCTTTATGCACATACTTTTATAGAATTATTAAAAATGCAGACTCATGGGCATGCAAATAGGTAGCTACAAGCTTATAAATGAAATCAAGCAAGTTTGAAAGAACAGAGACTTGACAATCAAGTGTATCATATCATATCTTCTAAATGATTTTATGCGGGAAAATTAACTACTCATGGATGAGATGATTGAAGATTTATACATGATCGTATTCAGGAGCATTTAAAGAAGCTCATCATGTTTAGTTCTTGCTGATCTGTCAACTTGCAAACTGATGTTTATTAGCTATTCTATGCATGTGAGATTAGCAAAAGCTCTCAAGAGTTTTTTTTATTTTTTTATTTTTTCTCTTTTAAATGATCGGAGGTATGAACGATTAAGCAATAAGTTACAACAATCTTGATTCATAAATAACATTAACCTTGATTGTCACATTTTGAAAGATCGCGTGTTTGTAAATGAACACAAAAATAACCTTCTCCAAATGAACTCAAATCTTAACAAACTAGATGGAATATAAAGATTTTTATCTCTAGGAAAAAGCAACATCCTATAAATAATTCTTGATTGGCAAATGGAGAACTTTTAAACCAGAGAGTTTATTCAGGTCCTATTATCCATGCTGTATCACCATGTTTATTATTTCAAACAACCCCTACTAGTTGAAAATAAGGTTAATAATGATGATCTTTGTTGTTTCATTCTAAAGACTTGAGTGTCACATCATATAGATATTCTTGAGTTGTCAACTAGAGAGATTGTTTTTGCATTACTTTGTTATTCATGAAAGTATAGCAGCAGCCCATGAAAGAAGATTTTATGGTTCCTTAAATTTTGTTCCATGCCAAAAACAAAATTTCAGCATAGTTGCCCTTCGTTTAGAAACAACAATTTATTCAATTGCTCTAATTTTGTTCCATGCCAAAAACAAAATTTCAGCGTAGTTGCCCTTCGTTTAGAAACAACAATTTATTCAATAGCATGGAAAGCTTTTGCAGTCTCAAATGAAGAGTTCTAAATTATGTTGCTTATTTCATTTTTTTAAAACAAAAATATGCTGAATGATGCATGCTATAACATATATATATATATATATATATATATAGAGAGAGAGAGAGAGAGAGTGAGTGAGAGAGAGAGGAGAGAGAGAGAGAGAGAGAGAGATAGGCTGTGAGTGTAAATCAGGCATTGAGATAAAAAAGGCTAATTTGTGTGTGTGTGTGTGATTGCTCTAATTAAAATATTGCAGCACATTTTTGGTTTTTCCTTGACATTTGTTTTGCTATGTTATAGATTTCATCTCCTACAAGAATTTGATGAACGGAAGAGAAGTTGTCGTCAAAGTTTGAGAGACCATAATGATATCAGGAAGAAAAAACATTCTGTTGTTTCTCCTATTAAGGGTTCTGCAGCTGATAATCAGTCAACTAATCATTTGTTGATTAGTGTATTGAAAATTCTCGGCAATTTGAGCTGTAATTTTCTTCCTCTTATACTCTTTTTCATGAAATTTCTGTTCTTTATCATTAATTCTACATAACAAACTTGTAAAACAGGAATGCCCTTTAGAGGAATGCCCTTTAGCTTCTTTGGCAAAGTTGCTATGACTTATATAACTAGACCTAACTAAGCGGACCAGTTATGAGTATATGGATATATGAGTTGTAGCAATAACAATGGCACTTATCATAATTCATTATTTTTATCACCTAATGTATCTTAAGAATGCTTAGCTGGAAGAATGGAAGAAAGAGAGTAAATTGCTTTTAGCTATCTTTTCTACTTGTTAAATTCATATAGGGGAAACTAGTGGTTGAAATAATCAATATCCATAGTATTGAACAAATTTGTTGCTTATTGATCCTAGAGGCTTTCCACCACATTGGTGCAGACTAATAATTTGCTAGGACATTTGGTGAATCAAAGGATGTTTTGCAATAATTGAGCTAATCCTAATCTAATTAGATACAGGCCTACTTAAATCCTAGAAGGTCAAAGGGGAGGAGCCAATAGTGAGAAGAGATCACTAGCTTTATCACATCAGATGACTAGGCACCACCTCCTTTAAAAGGGGGCCATCTTTGGATTCAAAGGAAGGAGAGGATAATGTATGTGTGCATGCTTTTTTGTCTATATATCTATGTCTATGTATGTGTGTGATGAGAAAGAGAATGAGAAACAACATCTAAAGGAAAATAAAATTAGAAGGAAAACAAAGCATGAGCAAGAGAATCACTATTCTCAAAGTAATGGCTAACTTGGTTTTTCTTTGTTATCTGTTTTCTTTCATCAATAGTATTTTTCCATACCGGAAGACCTTTGGTTCATTATCTTTTTTCTCCAATAGGAATCTTCTAGGAAAATCCAAGTTTTCTTATGATAATCCTAAACCAAAAATAGTGGAAATTGTAATAATGCTAGAATATTTAAGGTTTATGTTAAACTGGCGCCTACGGCTTCTTCTATCTTGTGCTCCACTGAGTCGAGTGGTCTCACTTAACCTATGCCGAGTCTGCCAAATAATTCGAACACCTATATTAGGCGCAAGACTAAAAGGGTAATTTAGTTATTTGTTTGTTATTATTATTCTGTATAAATACTGCTTAATCGATTAGGGATGGGGTATGTGATTGTTGTCACAAATGTTAGAGTTTGGGTTTGGGTTTGGGTTTGGGAGAGAATTGTTTATCTCTCGAATTATAGGTCTATTGTTAATGTATTTAAGATTTTATTATTTTGTGTTGTTGGAGATATTTTATTTTGCCCTAATCTTGGTGAAAACTTATCTTGTTCCTATCAAATTGGTATCAAAGCCGTACCTGGGAGTATGACGACCAAGAAAGTCGATGCTTTGGAGGAGAAATTAGATGGAGAGGTGAGCCAATTCAGATCGGGAATGGAGGAGCATTTCTCGTCCATGGAGGGGTTGTATTCATCCCCGTGGGGGCAATTCAAGGCCCTAGATGAAATGATAAAGATCGCGAAGTTCTACGTAGGATTGAGCGAAGGTGTCTGGAGCGGCCCTAAGCGACAACAATTAAAAGGAATCACATGAAATCAGGGTTTTGCAAGGGGCAGCACCACTGAGTTAGGCAGATCTGATGCTGTGGGATCGAGTGAAGGAGTCGAGAGCGAACCCGAGAGGCAGCACCTGCATCGGAGGACTGGAACGAACGGAAGCAAACATAATGGAACGATGGCATGCGATTCGAGCCTAGAGACGACTGATTCAAAGGAATTTGGTCAGAAGGGATCCCACGACATCAAGAGGGTTGGAGCAAACGATAGCAGGCAGAACGGGGTGGTGGCTCATGTTTTAGGGCTATAGAAGATTGATTTGAAAGATTTTGGCCTGGAATAGGGAACCAAGGTGGGTGGGTCCCTGGCCGAGAGCTTCATCCAACCTTGCCAGTGTCTTTTGATGTGGTAATCACGATAACCTTCATCCCGGAAGGTGGTTTAGGAGTCTATGAGGACTGATGAGCTGATTATGAGCAAGTCATGCCTTTGGAAGAAGGAAAATCAATATGGGCAGAGGAAGGAAACCCAACCACTATTTTATGGGTGGAACAAGCTTTGGTCGAGGAAATTGGGGAGGAGACTCACGCATAAGGAAGCTGAAGATGTTGATCTTTGAAGGAGATGATGTCTGTAATTGGGTTTATGACATGGAGACGTATTTTGCCATTAATAGGCTGACAAAGGAAGAAAAATTGATGGCGGTGGTCCTGTGTTTGGAATAGAAGACTCTAGCGTGGTATCAATAGAAAGAAAAGCGTCAACCAATCAGAACATGCGAAGAAGTCAAGGACCAATTGCTGGAGCATTTCAGAACCACGCGGGAAGGAGATTTACACGAGCAATTTCTTGCATTATTCCAGGAAGGGTCTATTATGAACTATAGGGAAAAAGTTGAGATGTTATCTAGCTGTTTGAGAGGGATATCAGAATTAACATTAGAAGGAAACTTTCTGAAGGGGTTGAAGCCAGGAATTCAAGCAACACTTCATCTGTTTAGACAACGTTGAATGGGGGAAATTATGGAATTACCACAATTGATTGAAGATAAAAATGCAATAGAATAGGCTAATAGGAGTAATATAGTTGGAGCCCTATATTGAAATGGTACAACCGTAAAGGCACTAAAAACTCAAACATTGGGGTTCCATAGAGAGCTTCTACGGGACATGATAATTGGTCATGACCGAGAGTGTCTTTCAAATGCCTTATAGGGATATAGATTCGTGAGAAGTGAGTCAATGACTATACTTTTGATGTGATGAGAAGTTTTCCTCTAGACACCATTGCAATGATCAGACTTTGTAGGTTTTCACTGTGTGTGATAAGGAGTGGGTAGGAGATGAAGAAACATAGGAGGTTGTGGTGGAGGAGGAATAGCTTCACTTGGATGTGACAAAAGTCTACAGAACTCGATGGTGGGGTTCACACCAAACCACACCATGAAACTTCGGGGATCGATCGGGAAGTAGGGTGTAGTGGTGTTGGTATATAGTGGTACACCAATAACTTCATCTTCACTCCAAATAGTGAGCAATTGAGGCTTGAGATGGTTGACATGGGAAGCTTTGGAGTAATGATGGGGATGAGACAGATGGAGAAGAGTAGGAGAGTTTATAAAGGGTTGATTTTGACATTACAAAGTATATAGATGGTGGAGGATTTTCTTCACTCGGATTTAGGAAGCATTGATGTAATGTTGGGTATGAAATGATTGTTGTCCTTATGCGAGATTAAGATGAATTAGAAACTCCTAACAATGAAGTTTCAAGAGGGAGATAAGAGGGTAGTGTTTCACAGTGACCTTAATTTGTGCAAGACCTTGGTAACACTCAAGACTATTGTTAGGGCAATTTAGTACTCTGGGTTGGGATTCTTAATCGAGTACATAACATAGAAGAGGCCCATGATACAAAGTTAGCAGACATTTCGACTTCAGTCTAACAGTTCTTACAATAGTTTACAAAAGTTTTCCAGTTACGCGGATTGCCTCTTCGGAGGTAACATGAGCATGCAATGACCCTAATGTGAGGGGTTTCTCCTATTAGTGTGCTCACACACTGCTGCCTACAAGTGCAGAAGGACAAGATCTAGATATTGATATGAGAGATGTTGGAGGCAGGGATCGTGTTGGTCCCTTCTCTAGCCCGGGCTTGCTAGTAAAGGAGGATGGGAATTAGCTTTTTGTTTGGATTATCAAGCAGTGAATAAGGAAATATTACCTAGCAAATTTTTCATCATGGTGATTGATGAGTTACTTGACAAGTTGTTTGGGGCTACCGTAGACCAAGGTGATCGAGAGGAGAAAGTGAATTATGTATACTGAGTAGCTTTCAGTAAAAAAGAACTATTACCTGGATGATTTAGCAAAGCACATCAAAGGAGAATCTAGGATTTTGGAGTGAAAGTTAACTTACTAGATTTTGACAGTCGCATAGATCCATATGAATTCATTAAGTGGCTCCATACAATGGAACAGATTTTTAAATACAAGAATATTCCATCATACATAATGATAAAGTTAACCACCTTTAAAAAAAAGTGCATATGTCGTGTAAAAAGTTGAAGTGTCTATGCCGACATGAGGGAAAAAATAAAATCACTATCAGATCTAACATGAAAAGGGATGTGGTGCAAGTATCTACCATCACATTACATGCATGATATTTTTTTGAGATTTCAATAGTTACAGCAGAAAGATCTATAAGTGGAAGAGTACACAGACGAATTCGAGCAGCTTATGTTAAAGCATGAGCTAATAAAACCTGAGGAAAACACTATAGCTCGATATCTAGAGGGATTGAGACTGTCCATTGACAATGCGATCCAATTACAATCCTATTTGACATTACAACATATTCATATGCTAGCTCTAAAGGTGGAGAGACAACATCACAATATTAGGTCCACATCACCATTTAAATAAAGTTCATTCCTAGGATCAAGCAGCAGGAGTACCCATAGTGGAGCATCCCAACCTACCTTGCTAGAGGAAAAAATTAGTTCAGAGTGGAGATAAGGTGAAAACATGTAACACTCTTAGGGTCCGTTTGGGGCAGCTTATAAGTGCGGGCGGCGTTTTCAAACCGCCGCCGTACCGGGTGGTTTAAAAAAATCCCCGCCGTACCGTTTGGTTCGTGCGTTTCGCCAGCTTATCCGAAACTGCGTTTGGGTTTTTACACTAAACGCAGACCGCGTGTCAACCCCTGCGGCCGGCCTGCGGACCGCGTTTCAGGAAAAGCAGCTTATCCTGAAACACACAAGTTGCCCCAAACGGACCCTTAAATCTGTCCCTATTAGAAAGTGTTTAAAGTGCTATGATTTTGGGCGCATTGTGTCTGATTGCACAAATAAAAAGGGTGTTAAATTTCATCGATTATGGTGTAGTGGAGGTGGCAGAGGGTGATGACCCATAGGAGGAGAATGGAGTGTACTAGCTACCCGCAGATGAGGGAGAAGTGCTTTTAATTTGACGGGTCATTCAAAATGAGCTAGTGAGAGAGCAACAATGGCTTCGTCACAACATATTTCATACTCATTCTACTGTGAAGGAAAAAGTGTACAACCTCATTATTGATGGAGGAAGTTGTGAAAATGTGACGTCTCACAACTATATTCTCTAACTTAGTTGAAGAAGAGAAGTATGATCAATATTGACAAGAGATGCCTCGTGGATTCCTCTATTGGAGGTAAGTTTCAGGAGTAAGTCTGGTGTGACTTAGTCTCTTTAGATGCTTACACACATTATGATGGTTACAAGTACACATACTCTTTCACCAAAGATAGTAAGTGCATTGTGCTCTTGTCTTGAAGGAGCCTGAGGTGTTTGAAGATGTGACACAAACTATCTCTTTGTCGACCCCAAATGAAACACCAATGAGACCAACAATGGTTGTCCAAGGAGGTGATTGGTTCAATAGAACGATACTAGACACAACAATCCCCACTAAGTGCAGTCTAATATCTCATCCTTTTAGATAGAGGTAAGGAGTCTCAGAGCCATTTTTTGAAGACTATAGAGTAAGCTGAGTATTAAATTTCAGTTTAGTTCAGCAATGTCTTCTCAAACTCATGGTCAGATAGGAGTGCTGTATTATAGCTTTGTAAACATCTTTAGGTGATTTGTGAGAAGGAACATTCGACAGTGGGCTTCAAGCCCTTCCAAAAAAGAGAAAGAAATCTCTCCTAGTTGGGGAGAATGACATGGGAGCTATTGAACCATGGTTTTTTGCCTTACCACGGCCGCATGATTACAAAAGTCCGAAAACACACAAAATGCCGCTTGAATTTCCGTCTTTTTCAACATATTTTCTATATTGTCTATTTATTTTTTATTCTTTTATTTCTTATTTCTTTGTAAGGTTTTAACTTGAGGGATTATTTATATGTTATTTTTTTCTGATCGAGGGGACTTATGATTTGTTTTGAGTTTAGGGAGATTTAAATTTCTATTTTCTATCATAAAAAGTACTTTATCATTTATTTTTGTAAGTGATGTGCATATATCTTGCTCAGGAATAGGTGGTGAAACCTCCACGTCGTTGGAATGTCTCCGATTTTTCTTTGCTATTTTCTGTTGGGACAGTTGTTGAACGACCTCTAGCCCCTTCCAATCACCTTTGATCTCACATATTTTTGTTCCCTTACTATTCTACAACTATTTCCCTCCTAAATTCACTCTCAAAATATCTTCTAGGAGCCCTAGAATGGTATCAGCAACTATTTCATGTATTATATTATCCATGTTAAGATGCTCATGGGTTTAATAGATTCCATAATTATTGTCTTTTGTATAATTGGAAAATTACAATGAGAAACACTAGGATTAGTCATGCATATCTTCTTTAATAAGTTATTTTTATGCTCTCTAGTTACTAGTGTTGTTGTTATTTCGGGATGTGAGAAATCATTGCAATTTATCTGTTACGCTCATCTCCTTTAGTGGTTGTCACTAAAATTTCTTTTAGTATTACTAGCTAATTGATAACTTCAAACAAGGGTTGTGTATCTCAATGTTATCAAAATGATATGCTACCTTAAGACACTTTGATTGCCTAATGCCTGAGCATTATTCACTATCTTAGTCTCTCCCTAACAAAGAGAAGCACTTAAGAATAAGTTATCTTAAAGAGAAGTTACTTTGAGAATATAAGATAGTTATCACACTAATCTAGTTTAGGAAAATAATAATTTTCCTAGATTTTTGACGCGGAGCTCAACAAGGGGATCACGTGACCCATTTTTGTTGGGATCAAGCCACAAATTTGGCTCAATTCCGCGAGATCGCATAGTCCCACGATCCCATGGCCGACAATTTGACCACATAATTTCTGATTTCAACCCATTTCCTTTCTTTTTTAATTTATTTTCTATTTTTTTATTTCTATGTAGGGTTTTTACTTGAGGGATTATTTATATGTTGTTATATTCTAATTTTAGGAACTTTTGATTTGTTCTGTGTTTTAGAGATGGAATCTCTGTTTTTAACCCTCATTGAGTGTTTTATCATTTTTCTTGTGCAAGTAGTGTATATGTATACAGGAATAGGTAGTGACCATCCCGGCACTGTACCTTGCTAATTTGTCGTTGGACTGTTGTTTTCAGTCGAGACAGCCGTCGAATGATGTTTATCCCCTTCTAAATACCGTCTAATTTGCTTCCTATCTTCCTCTTGCCATTTCACAACCATATACCCATTAAATCCGCTTCCCAAATAACTTCTAAGAGCCATAGAACGGTAAAATACATTCTAGGAGCCTTAGAACGGTATCATCTGTATTCAGACCCTGAAAAACTCAAAAACTTTGAGATTTTTCGTTCATGCGCCTACCTAAAATTTCACATAACTTAAATTTTCAACCAATTCAATACCTAAACTATTTCTACCACAATTCCTAGCCACAAACTTAAAGTTTTCAAGATCTAACTTTCCTACCTCCACAAAAATTTCATCTCAACACCTATCACCAGAACCTAAGCCCCTGATCATCATTTGGTTTACAATCTTACATCCACCGATAACGTGATCAGCAAAAAAGTACCCAATGTTGCATAGAAGGAATCCACAAAGAGGTGTTCAGGAGCTTATTATGAAGGATATATAGCGAGAAATTCTCTATCAACAACAGAAGTTTGCCAACTTCAAGATGAAACAATCCATTGAGGTTAATCATAGCCAAAGCTCTGAATTGTCAATTCAAGATTGGGGAGTGAATCCCTTTCAACAGATAATTTCCAGTGATGAATAACTACTTCCTTGACGATTCAACATGAATTGTCAAAGGAGAAGTGAGGATCTTGGAGTAATAGTGGAATTACAAGGTTTCGACGGTCGCATGAATCTAGATAAGTTTAACTAGTGGCTTCAAACAGTGAAGTGAATTTTTGAGTACATAGTTGTTCCTCAGGATAAGAGAGTTAAATTGGTCATCATCAAGCTCAGGAAAAAAACAGTTTCATTATGATGGGAGAAACTGAATCATATTCAGTAGCGAGAAAGAAATATAATAATCTAAACTTCGCTATTGCTAATTTCATCTTCATAATTATCAATGTTTTTTTTTTCATCTACTCAGCCTCCTCAGTTTTCACCCTCAATATTTATTAGTCTAAGATTTGAAGATCTAGTATCTACTACATTAATTAAACTTATGTTAAAGCATATTTATACTTTTTTCTTCAACTCGTGTTTTTTTCACTTCACCTAGCGTACTTTCTTAGCACCCGCCCCCCTTTCCTTTGTCTGCCTAGGCACCTAAGAAAATTCTTGGCTCATTTCTAACACAATCATTAGTACATGTAATTTTTTTTATTTAGAAAAAGCGTATGATAAGGTTCTAAGAGAAATTCTTTGGAGAGTTCTGAGAAAGAAAAGTGTTGATATGACTTATATTTAAGTCCTTAAAGATATATATATTAGAGTTGTTACTTGTGTTCTAACAGAAGGAGGACTGACCAAATATTTTCCTATTTTTGTTGGATTATATGAGGGATTGGCTTTAAACCTATATCTTTTTGCTTTAGTTATCTCTAGTTATGGATGCTCTTACTAGACATTTACAGGATGATGTACCTTGGTGTATGCTTTTCGTTGATGATATCCTTCTTGTGGATAATACTAGAGAAAGAGTTAAGGAAAAACTTGAATTATGAAGGTTAATTTTCGAGTCTAAAGGCATTCGTTTGAGTAGATCTAAAACTGAATACAGGGAATGTAATTATAGTAGTAGTAGATTTAATGGCGGAGTTGTAATAATGGGCGATCAAATCTTTGGAAGGAGTGAACATTTTGGCTATTTCGAGTCTATTGTTCAAAGTAATGGTGATTTAGATTTTTTTTTGGGGAGGGGGGGTGTCTGTGTTATTAGTAGAAATCAAGTTGGATGGTTGAAGTGGAGAAATGCATCGGGTCTATTATGTGATAGAAAAGTACTACTTAGACTTGAAGAAAAGTTTTATAAGATGGTGTTGAAACCTACGATGCTTTATGACGGAGAAGATTGGCTTATAAAAGAGAAGAATAAAACTAAGTTAAGTGTTGTTGAGATGAGAATGCTTTAATAGATGAGTCTTTACACTTAGAGATAAAATGCGAAATGAATGTGTTCTTGAAAGGGTTAGTGTAACTCCTATGACAATCAAGGTCAAAGAGAGGCGTAATAGATTGTGCGGTCATATTAATCGTCGACCATCTGATGATCCTATTAGGAGATTAGATGTTTTAGATTCGACTCATGTTAAGAAGGGTAGAGATATACCTAAAAAGACTTGGGCATATTGGCTAAAAAATGATCTTAATTTATTAAAATTAAATGAAAATATGACACTGAATAGGAAATAATGGAGAAAAAGGATTCATTTAGCCGGCCCCACTTAGTAGTATAAAAGCTTGTTGTTGTTGCTTAATGGCTTGATTATTTTCCTTCAACGTCTGGAAACAGCTGTATGATTAACATGCTATTCTTGAATACTTCATTCACGAATTTATGGTCAATTGCAGCTGACAAATTTCAGCACTCGAAAGATAGTGAGCTTTTGTGGAACTTTGTGAAAAATATTGCCCCTTTGGCTTGTTCATCTGATACAAATAAAATTTCTCGTCTCCTGCAAGCGTCTCATGATATTCAGAAAGTTGGGACATCCGCTGGGATATCAGGAGAAGTTGCTGATGCTCTACTTTCAGGTGTTCTCAAGCCATCACGTTTGCCTGCCAAAACAAAATGTGCACCTACCATGGCTACTAATCAATGTGCACCAGTTTCTGCAGCTCCAAGAGAGATGCAATGTCAGCTAGAGGCTTTATGTTCATTGCAACACATGCTACCTGCTGCTGGTACAGTTGAGGATGAAAGGACGATGGGATTTGACTTAAATGCTCCATATGTTGAAGAACCAAATGGTGAATTAGGATGTGAGAAACCATCAAAACAAGCTACTGCTGTGAACGGTTCTCCTAATTGTTCTCCGTGGGTGGTTAAAGATTGTCACCAGTCAAACCAACCACAAATATGTGGGAATCCTGATTCAACTTCAACTAGATCACTTTCAAGTTCAAATGGCGATGCTCAGGTACACCTTTTGAAATACTCACCTAATACACAAATCTGAATTTGCATTTGTATCAACTTTCTTATGTTAAGTTTCTCGTTTAATTGTGTCATTTGAATGTGCATGACCAGTGTCTTAAAGCGCCATATTTTCAGTAAAATATTCAAAACAAATTTTTTCATCTGGGAATTTGGGTTATGCTTTAAACTTGATGAACCCCCTTTTTTATCATCAAAACCGGGTTTCATTAGTTTCATAGATCAATATAGGATGTTTTTGAGCTTGTTGAGGGTCGTGTTTTATGGTCATGATCTCTATAAAGCTTGTTGTATGTGACTTTTCTTTCATGGCTGCACCATATTGCACCTTGAACAAGCATATTTTTTTTAGCTAAATAAATAAGAAAACTCTGGTAAACTTTTGTTAGATCTGAGCCTTTTTAATGATTGAGTTCATCTGCATGCATCATGAATATGTATTCTTTTGCATGTTATGCCCTTTTTTGATTGTATGTTTCCTGTTTATTTGTTACATCTTCAGTGGTATAAAATCAATTTTATGGATGCATTATGAGTGTTGATAGACGTGTTATTATTAGATGAAGTTGAATCTCTTATAAAACGTAGGGTTCAAATATTGTATTTTTTGCTAGGATTTTATGCATTTGTTTCCTTGGTTTCGACTGGTAAATTTTCTTCAGAATTAATTTTCATAATTCATGGTTTGAATGTTAATAGCTGGCTTGTTTACATGAGATGAATCATAACCTTAATCTTGTTAAATTTCATATTGCCAGCTTCAAAATTCCGATAGGGTCCACTTTGGAATTTAACCCTTTAACTTGAGAATATCTTTTGCATTGATAACTAGAACTATTCCCTGCAAGGCATACTAATTTTTAATATTCATTATTATTGAAAACTATAAAACATCTATTTCTGTTACCACTTGAACACTTGAACATGATACTAATATGGAGGACTTGATAAGGCACATGGTTTTTAGGACAAAAAGCTTTCCATTTGTTAAATGCATGATCAGATCAAATGATGAAAACCATTTGAAAATTGTTCATATTTTACTGCGTTTACATTTATGAGTACAATTACAGAATTATGAACTTCAACAAGAAAAAATGTTTAAGAGGATAGGTTATATGAACTTTATGATCTATAATGTAAATGTGTAAAATATGTTGGTTATGAGCTTTTAATTTTTAATGATTATGTATTGATTTTAATGAAAATCATAAAATATCAAAATTATAAGCAAAAAATATAGAAATTTTTATCATAAAAAATAAATAGAAATTCATAATGAAGAATATCTCACAAATACTTTGATTTCACACACGAATAGATTTCATCAAAATTAACCAAACAGGTTATATCATATTTCTTTAGGTTATATCATATTATAATCACAGAATTATGAGTACAATAACAAAATTATAAGCAAGAATTTCTAGTAGCAACAATTTCTAATTTTTTGGTATCAAATTTCATTAAAATCAATCGTGATATCAAACCCATATTAAAATTTAAAACAAGGAATAGAATAAGATAAAAAATTCACCAAAATAAGCAAGTCTCTTGCTTCTAGAAGAGAACAACTTTCTCGGGACTCTTCAAGTCTCTCATTTGATCAAGAAATTGAACCAAAAGGGTTAGAAAGAATGGTAAATCTAGTTAGAATTTTATTCAACAACCAATTGATATATTTATATATGCCTTTTACTCTAATCCATAATCATAAAGCCTTTTGGAATTCGCCTTCCACTAGTCATATGGTTGTTCTTAATGAACAAAAGAAATTCTTATAGCAGAGGAAAAAATCCTGCTAGCCTGTTGACAGTCGCAAGCAAAGTATCACTAAAGGAGGAGTCATGCTATAGGGGAAGGAAGATAGCTACAGTACACGCCAAAAGTAGCGGTAGCAAAACTTGGCAGAAGCCTAAACCACCAATAGCATCTGTGAAATAAGCAATTGTAGGGGTTTGTCTGGTAATTGATTTAAGTGAGATTTAACTTAAATATGCTAGACAGGAAAAAAAAGGGACAATATTTAAATCTTTGATTTTGTAAATTCAATTTCTTCTCAATTCCTCTTAGTTTTGTCTTAAGTCCCGGATCTGGATTTACATGATTTACTATAGCTGTTACCAAACAACCCCTAGAATTTACTATTTCGCACGCATCTGCATACAAACACTTACAATTAATTAAAAAATAAAACAACTATATTCTATTAAAAAATTCATCTTTCAATTTGTTCATCTCAGCACATGACACATTTTCAACTGCTGCTGATTTGGATATTTTCTACATTCTCAAATGCTGTAGATTTCCAGATTTGTATCACGCCTCCTCAAAAATTTGCACAGTGTTTCCTTTATTTTTTCTCCTGAACTTATCCAGCATCCCGAGGTTTAATAATTTTTGTCACTAGCCATCTTTGTCAATTTACTTCACATGCTACATCGATTGCATGTCTAATGGTGTTTTTCCTGGACCAAAATCACTACATAATTAGAACCAAGAGTGATGCAAATCATTAATTTGAGACACTTTACTCTTACACTGTGCAATCCTTTTAATGATAGAAAGATGTGAGAATATTTTTTTTCATAAACAAGTTTTGTTCAGACCTAAACTAGCGTTTCCATTACAATAACTGAGATTGACCCTATCCGCAGTTGCGTAGTTATTTAGTTTCCTGGCAAAAAACTTGACTTAGTTTCTTTAGGTGGCTAGCATGCAAAATAGATTCGTTATAGAATTTAAAATTTGATTTATAGTTTACACACTAAAGGTTCTAAGTAATTATATGTATCGTTCAAGTAATATATAGTTCTAATGGAGTCCCGATTATCGATCCCACAGGGAAGCGAGGTAAGAAATCCATTAGGCTAAGTTCTAGTTTACTACTATCGGGTATTAGTTTGGAATGTCGATTAAGGGTGTTTTTCTAACAATTGATCTTAAATACAAACCTAAATCTAAAGTTAAACCTAACTAGATAAATTGATTTGGTGAATTTTGAGGTGTAAAAATTACCTTTCTCTTGTAGTGACCTAGATAATGTGTAGGAATGTGATGCTTATAATCTAATGTGGTCAGCGACAATATGAGCAAAAATCTTACCCTTTTCCGAGTGTATAACGTAGCTCAGTTAACCTAGGGTCATTTCCTTAAAATAACTGGATTATCATGGCGAAACTTGTAGCCTGTCACACTAGAGTCTCCTTCTCCTAATAGCTCTCTAATTAGCTTAATTTTAGATTTAAGGTACGAAGCCCTAGATCAAACTGGTTAGGAATGTAGTCTGTCACCCTAGAAACACCAATTTGCATCCATCAATGAATATCTCCCTAACATTGCATTGAATCTTAGGACTACTTTTCCTTCACCCATAAGTTCAATGTGGTTTTTCAATCTAGTTGTTAAAGTCATAGCCCTCCCGGAACTTATGGGCTTACAACAAATTTCAACTTACTAATTGGCCAGATTGATTAGTAAATGAAGCATGAAGTAAGAACCATCACTATGATATGAAAAACTTGTTCTAACATGCATCCTAACATCCTGAACATTTATCCAATTCATTGCAAAAGAAAAGTACAAGAACTCTACTTTACAAAGCAGGTGTCACACACAACAGGAAACTTCATTAAATCAAAGCAAATCCACTAGATAAGTGCTTACAAGAAGTACAAGACAATGACAAACATATGATGCATGCAGAAACCACCCCTGGATGCTAATACAATTCCTTACAGATATCTCTTAAAATCCCCTCACCAATCTCTCCAGAAAAGGTAAAAATCTACATTTCTTACTCCTATCTACAACCTCTCGGCCATCCTGGAGAATTTCAGGACTTAGAAATGCCAAAAAGTGTTTTTCCAGACGTCTCGATCCATCAAATAACTCCTTGGGGCATGTAGAAATCGCCCCTGGACAGTTCGGGCGTGTAGGTGTCTGTCTACGGCGCCGAGGCACCGTCTTCTCTGTTTTCTGGGCGGAGACTGGCGCCTAGGCGCGCCACCCTTCTAGCAACACTCCCATTTGCTCCCGTTTGCCTCTGTTTCAGCTCAAATTTGCTCCAAGTGTTATTCCTGCAAGATAAACATGAAAATAACATTTCTTTAAAGTGTAATTTCATTAAAAAATATGTAATAAATTTAAAGAAAATTAAGCATAAAAAAACATATCATTGAGACATAATAAATGCAAATCGATAGGAGAGAAAAGGGATTGACCATAGCTAACAAGGTTGGAAGCTTTTCAACTGTGTTTTATATGAGCTAGATTTCTAACGATTGCTAGTTGCTTCAGAAGCTCCGTAAAAGGATTAATCTAGCTGACCCGAACAAGTAACTATAAGGTCCTAGTGATAATTTATCCTAAGATAAATGTACGTTTATAACTTATGTGCTTCATGTGCTTGTTTATAAATATATGTTTGAGCAGAAATCAATTTGTTATATGTCCAAAAATACAGCAATCAGTAATCCATAGCGACTAATTTTCAATTTTTTTTCTATCCTAGAGCCGTACAGATAGAATTGTGTTCAAACTATTCGGAAAAGACCCTAATGATTTACCTCTTGCTTTGCGAGCACAGGTAATTGATGATTTTGATGTATATCATCTTCGTAAGATGTGATGTTAGATTATTAAATTCATTCACCATTTCATGCCAAAAATTCTCAAATTCTTGTATTTTAATTACAGATCTTTGACTGGTTATCTCATAGTCCAACGGATATGGAGAGTTATATCAGACCTGGATGCATCATTCTTACAGTTTATCTTCGTCTTAGTTTGTCTGCATGGGATGAAGTATACAGTTTCTTTTTGATTTGTGTGATTTAATCATTAAGCTTGTTTTTCAGAGTGATTCTGATGTGTCTCCTTTCGTGCAGCTATGTCATGATCTGGTCTCTAGCCTGAATAAGCTAATATGTCTATCGGCTGATAATTTTTGGCAAAGTGGATGGATATGTGCTAGGCTGCAACATCAACTAGCATTAATATACAATGGTGTGATTATTTCTTTGATAGGAGAAAAACTCATTTGTCATTTTTGATTTTCCTGGTCCACCAAATATCTAATGATGCAGATTATTATGACTTGTTTAACTACTGTAGGTCAGGTTGTGTTGAACAAGTCACTGGTCGTAGAAAGAAATAGTTACAGCAAAATTCTTAGCGTCACACCCATTGCAGCTCCTCCTTGTTCAAGGGTTACCTTTAATGTTAAAGTTTCTAATCTTGTTCGATCTACCACAAGGTTATCACATTGATTTAGTTTAATAACTTTTATTGATGATTAAAATGTCAAAAATTGTCCCTTGATTATTTACAGTGGGTCATTTTAGTCCCAGAGTTTACAAAAATGTCAAATTAGTTCTCAAACTCTTTTAATATGGGCTTAAATAGTCCCCAGGAGAACTATTTTATCCTCTTTTAAAAGAAACCCGGGACTAAATTGATACTTTTATAGACTCCAGGACTAAAATGATCCCTGATCTCTTTTATTTACAGAACATTCATTTGTACTTTAATACTTTGACTTTTTTTTAAAAGAGACCCGGGACTAAATTGATACCTTTATAGACTCCAGGACTAAAATGATCCCTGATCACAGAACATTCATTTGTACTTTAATACTTTGACTTTTATGTCTCCCTTCTACCTTCTATGATTCCTTATTATGCGTTGCATTTTCAGATTACACTGTGCATTTGAAGGAAGATATCTCAGCCAAGAGATAGACCAGACTTCTGTATACTGTTCTAACAATGAAAGAAACCATGAACAGATTCAGTTTCTTAGCTTCTCTTGTCGCCTTTCTGATGCAATCGGGCAAGGGTTCATTGAGGTTCTATACATTCCCTTATAATATTTTTTTTCTTTTCTTTATCCTGTGAACCTTTATTTCAATTTCTGATTATTTCCAGATTGAAGATGATGGTTTAAGCAGCGTTTTCTTTCCTTTCATAGTAGCGGAAGAGGATGTATGTACTGAGATAAGAATGCTGGAGAGTTCCATAGATTTAGTCCCTTGTGATGAGGTTATGGAGGAAAAATTAGAGGCTGCAAGAAGCCTGGGTGTGAATTTCTTACATGAGATGGGATGGCTACTTCGGAGGAGCCACTTAAGTTCTAAGTCAGATTCAGAGAATTATCATTCTGAAGCTTTTTCCCTCGCACGTTTCAGATGGATTTTGAGATTTTCGGTGGATCGTGATTGGTCTGCTATTGTCAGAAAACTCCTCAACATTTTATTCGATGGAATCATAGATTTAGGCGGGATTTCTCCTACGATTATTGCCTTGTCAGAAAATCTGCTCCATTATGCTGTTCAGAGAAACTCCAAGTTAACAGTGAAGCTCCTATTGAGATACAAGCCTTGCAGAAGTGTGGATAGGGGTATTGATAACTTATTTAGACCGGACATGGCTGGTCCTTCCAATATTACTCCACTTCATGTTGCAGCCACTAGTATTCATGCAGAAAGCATGCTGGATTTATTAACTGATGATCCAGGACAGGTATATTTTTCTATTACTTTCCATCCTTACAATTCAATTGCGCATTATGGAAAGGAGTAAAATGTAAAATATTTTTATTACTGTGTGTTTCTAAAATTCATGTTATCTTAAAAGCATCCATCGAAACATCCCAAAAACACAAATTTTGTTCTTTTCTCATCCTCAACCTGTTTCTGATTATCACACGTTCGCCTTATCCCAGTTTGGACTTAAAGCATGGAAGAACGCCCACGACAACTCTGGCTTCACTCCCGAAGACTACGCAATTGCTCGAGGCCATCAATCCTACATAACTCTGATGCAGAAGAAGATCAACAAGAACACACAAAATTTTGATTTTTCAGTCAACATCCCTTCTAAATCAATATTTACACCAGATCCCACCCATAAACAATCCAAAAAACAATCTGGACTCGATATCGAAAAGAACAAATCAAAACTATCACAGCCTCCATTCTGTAAGTTCTGTGAACATTCTTCAACTTACCGGAGCTCGGGCGGAAGCTCTTTGATGTATCGGCCAATGTTGTTGTCAATGCTGGGCATTGCTGCAGTTTGTGTCTGTGTGGCCCTTTTGTTCAAAGGACCTCCAGAAGTTCTTTTTGTCTATCCTCCCTTCAGGTGGGAATTATTAGAGTATGGATTTATGTGAGAAGTTTAGCGCACAGCCTGACCTGTTTTCTTGCTGACTAGCAATGAGTTTTTTTGGAAAATTTACAAGGGTAGCATATAATTTTTATGTATTTACATATCTCATACCTAAACTTTCATATTTACATACATGACATTTTGGTGCTTTAAACCTATATATTTCACTTTTAAAAAGTGATAATAATGCTATTTTTATTGTAATATGAAAGATTTAAACGCTGTATTTGTAAATATGATAGTTTAGTTGTGAGATATGTCAATACATAAGAAATGTGTGCTATGTATATAAATGCCCCTTCCAGTTAACTTTATATTCTTGTATTCTGTGGACTATGAGATTATATTGTGGGGTGTTATCCAGTTTAGGAGTAATCATTCTGTAAGCTGTCTATATCAAATTTGTATTTTGACGCTTAACTTTTTTTTTTATAATAAAGGAGCCTAATTAAATGATGACAGTTTTTTTGTTATCTAATCTTGTCATTCATTCATTTTATCAAGGTAAATCATAGTCATCAGCCTGTTGTGTAAGATTAATTAGTTATTTTGGTTGATGAAGTTTTGGAAGTTGTTTTCTTTTTTGTTTAGAGAGTGTGTGAGAGGAGAAATATTTGGGGTTGCGCACGTCAGGTAGGTTACATGGAGTGTATTGAGGGTTATATCCGCGTTATACCCCCTGTAACCTTCCTGTAACCTACCTGTAAACCTGTAACTAGTAAGTTTCGCTCTTCTGTTTTTATATATTTCTAAGTTACAGGTAGGTTACAGGGAGATTACAGGAGGTATAACGCAGATATAACCCCCAATACTCTCCCTGTAACTTACCAGGCGTACGCAGCTCTGCATACGTCTTACGTACGCAAATATTTCTCGCGTGAGAGAGAGAGACTATACATTCTTGATGGGGGTACATTATTTATTATATAAAGATGGGCATCCATTTCCTGTATGAAATAAAATCTTATTTATCAAGAGTTGTCTTATCAAGGGAATGAGAAAAAAATAAGGCGGTGTTTGGTAGCATTGTTTAAATAAGATTTAGATATGGACTTAAGGTAAATTGTTTGATTTTGCAGACTTCCCGTTTGTTTCTTTGCTGATAGGAGTGAAAAATGGGGAGTAAGACTATAGACAATAAATACAAAACTACCGTTTAATATGCATTCAGTAAGGCTTGTCTGCATTTTTATGCCTTGTTAT